AGACATTTGGCATGGAATGGTCCAGCTATATTTAAGCAAAATAACTTACACAAATAACAATATTTGTTCATCTACCATGACCACACTAGAAAAAGTTGTTCAGGCATTGTGACACTAAAATTTTCAGTGTCGTACTGCCTGAACAACTTTTTTGATAAACGCCAAACTCACGCCGAGAAAAAGCCGCTCTATCACGGTGGTTGTTAAAGGCCTTGCGGCCGTAGACAATGTTGAAAATAAAAAAAATCAACTCATCAGTGCTGTCACTCCTTCTTCGTCTATACTGACGCGGAAGATTTTTCGGTCATCCACGTGGAGGTTCAGGAACTAGGCTTGCTCTAGGCTGGGGCTGGGGTATGCCACGTAGGACGTCAGTGGCACCCTCTCGTCCTGTAATAAGAGCAAATATTACTTCTCATAAAATGATGTTCGGGCTGTTCTGGCAGCACCATATATGAAGAATCTGTAGTGTGTATCCTTTGAAATGACGTGTAATTGACATTACACTGAACTCGAAGCATACAACCCATACATTCCAATAATTTCGTATGATAAAGATAAGATAGTTTTCCAGCATACAGCAAATTCCCGAATAGAGGTGAAGTGTAGGACTACAGCTCGAAAATGGCACTTACGGAAGCCTGAACTCACCTAAGAATCAAATTCCTTATAGGGTAGTGAGCCAGTGTGAAAAACAGTTCTTAAAGTACAACGTTCAGAACATGTAGCATTAATCAGAACGCACAAGAAACTTACCTCTTCGTGTACAAACAGTGAAGGCATCTCTACTTTCTCTTTTACATGAGAACAAATGATCTTGGGCGTGGCACTAGCGAAGAGGTCTGCAAAAAAAGTAAAAGATTTACTGGCTTTAATCACGCCTCTGACAATTTGAGGAATTGTGACAATTCAGCAATCAGTGCAATTCTGACTGCCTCTATAAGGGCATCAAAAATGAACAATTTTCTTGTTCTTTCTACCCTCACAAGAAGCTCCGTCCATGGCATCTAATCCAAATTTGACGCTGTGCTTCTTATTTGCCTGCTTTCTAGACGTAGGGCTGCAAACATGTATTTTGTGGAACTAATCTAGCACAGAAATTCGTCATACATAATTCAATCATCTTAATTCATTGTAATTTGATAAAAGATGTGATAGCTCGTCCAGTTTTTAAAGAGTTGCGGGCCTGCAATAGGCACTGCCTAGCACGTATGAAAGTATTTCTTTTTTAAAAAAATCTTCAAAGCTTGCTTTCAGAAAAAGCGTCAAGCATATTTCGACAACCAAGCCCATCCTCTGATGGCAACCAGGGGCACGCTATTAGCGATTATTGACCACAGGATTTGCAAACGCAACCCGTGCCTAAATATTCAGTTTAAACACAATCGAGCAAGTAGGAGCGCTCGAACAAAACCAATGCGCGCGGACGCCGTCTAAGTTGCAGCAGCCATGGCTTATGCTAGAGCTACCGCACATAGCTCCCACAGTCACGTATACTGTCTCGATTCTGTTATAAAGCCGAACGTTATCGCAGATAAAAGCAAAGCACGAAAACAGCAAACAGAAACGAGGGAAAACAACGCACGGCGATGGCCACAACAACGCGCCTTTGGAAGTCTACTAGATCTTTCCCTGTTGCTGGTGACACATGTCCTAAATATTTTAAAAGACCGACGCGCACGTGCTGGGAGCATCGCGGCATATCAGCACCTCAAACTATACCGTCTTTAAGCAAAAAAAAAAGCCATTTCGTACAGTGCGCCTCTGTACATAAATTTTTCTTTTTCTTTCTTTTTTACGCTTACACCTACAGAAGCACGTTGCACATTTGAGTATTAATATAAATGTTATTACGATGTAGCCTAAAGCGCATCTTGAGACAATATCAATCACATTGAGAGGTGTAGAGACAATGTGCGATCAGCAACGAATCGCGCCCTTGTTAAGTGATCCCATCACTCACTGTATGAGTGATGCAGGCATTTACACAACATCACGCATAGCAGTGTGAACTCGTTAAGTCACACGTTTATTCGGGCATCTGCAACAGGCCCGCGAACGCATACTGTTGTAAATGGCTGGCAGCCTACTTCGGCAGAGCTGCTGCAGGCGCCCAGCTAGCGCTGTATGATTACTACCTACGAAAACAGTACACTCACCGTTAACAGGCCCACGTTGTCCACGTCCGCCACTCCATGAATATTCCTTAGTACGAGCGTCACTTCGAACACGGTGTCATGCGTGACCACCATTGAAGATGCGCCTGTTGGCTAGAACTCACACAGCGACCAAGACCCCAGACCAACGCAACGCATTTGAAAGACGGATGACACAGAGCGAGCAACGTTGAGAGAGAGGAGGAGGAGGCACTGGCGGCGGCACCGCAGCTGTCGACGCAGGTGTTCGGTGACGCAACTATTCGCTTATCTACACCGCCGTTGTGGGGGCGGGTGGGGGACCGCTGGCCCGGGTGAGCGGGGGGGAGGGGGAAGCCCACCAAGACGGCGCCGAAAGGCAAACGCTGTGGTGCATATGGCGGGCGGCGGTTCGACGCGGAAGGCAATCGAATTGCGCTTCAAGAATGACTCCTTCTAAATGGCAACTCTCCTTCCGCACAGCGGCGCAGGTTATTTACCAGCCTTGTGTTCTTTGAGTATTTTGACGAAATGCGACTGCAGTGGGCGAAAAATAGTGAAGCAAAACTTGCGGAAAACAAAGTGCACCCTGGAACGGCCAGAAACAATAATTATTTCGTCCTCGGTGGCATTAGCGGGAGAGCATTGCTACACAGTTTTCAGAGGAATTTCTTTTCGCATTGTCCGTGTCTGGCGATTCCGCGTATGGTTCCGCAAACACTGAATGCGTAGTCGAAGCTGGAACAAATTAATCCACAGTCGCGGATGTTTAGAAGGCTTGTCACGCACCACGAAACGTGCCGAGGTTGTTATAACAGACTTTTTGCTGACCACATGATCAGCACATAATTCCATATGGTTGCCCAATGAGCTAGCTGAGCACATGTAGCAAAGGCATGGCACGTTCTTGTTAAACGTTCTTAATATAAACTATGGTTGTGCATAGGTGCAGTGACAGGTTTCCGTGTGAATTGGTCATAACCCACGTTTTCGAGCGTAGAAGCGCCTCAACGGAGCTAATCAGCTACCACAGAAAGTTCGCAAGCAACGATGAGGTAGGAGAATGTGCAGCTGTTTTCCATGTACTGAATAGTCCGTGTACAGTGCGTTGACAACCGCCATTCTTTAAGCCACCTCCCATATAGACTCCCAGTCTGAAGAAGCGTGGGACCTTAAACGCTAAGAAGCAGTGCCCCCCTCCCGCACACACACGCACACACACACACACACACACACACACACACACACACACACACACACACACACACACACACACACACACACACACACACACACACACACACACACACGGAATTCGAGGGCGCATGGTCTAATACACACACATACTTATTCACAGGCGCACACACATACACGTATACACACATACGGCCACACACACCTGCATGGGCGCACACATGTGCACAGGTACGCTTAACACAAGCACGGACTCGCACATACACGCGCACGCACACATGCACGGGTGTACACAAAATCGCGCTTACACACGAACACATGCGCAGGCTCACGCACACACACCCATACTGGGGCGAACATTAGGTTCCTGTATATATTCCATAGCAAACATGTAGCTTATAACCAACGCTAAGGAAAGCTTTCGTAACATGGATTGCAGTTAATTGCCATTATAGATGAAACGCGATTTGCTTCTGCTGGAATTCTGCTGTATTCGGAGAGCACCTTCACATACTCTAAGCCAATTAGGCCGTCATTTTACGCAAGGTCCACATATTCGTGCAGTAGCTACGCTGCTCGGCCGCCAATCGGAAGGTCGTGGGTTTGATGCCAGCCGTGGCAGTCGAATTAAGACGGAGCCGAAATGGTAGAATCCTGTGCACTGTGTGATATCAGCGCTCATTAAAAACACCAAATGGTCAAAATCTCTGGAGCTTTCCACAACGACGACCCTCATAATCATATCGAGGTTTTTGAGACGTAAAAGCCCAAATATTATAATTATGTGTTCTTCTTATGCTAAATATTCCATCTGATGAATCGTCACCTACACCCTTCTCAGGCACAAAAGCACCCTTAGAGCCTATTTTAGGGTGCTATCGAGGCAAGCACCCAAATAAAAGGGTGCTTTTTTTCAATCGACCATTTATGGGTGTTAAAGCGTGTTTCAAATGGTGCTTTCTCGTAAAAGCAGCCTTTTACACCCTTTTGTGTGTAAAATTTTTTACTTTGTAGTGGAGGGCTGCGGAAATTTCTACCACTTGGGATTCATTAACGTGCACCCAAATCTGAGCACACGGGCCTACATTTCCGCCCCCATCGGAAATGCAGCCGCCGCAGCCAGTATTCGATCCCGCAACCTGCGGGTCAGAAGCCGAGTACCTTAGCCACTAGACCACCATGGCGGGGCCTATCCTTCCCTTGGCTCCATTACCTGTTAGCTCTCAGCAATGTTAAGAAAGGGAAATTGGACAACCACCCGTTTATGGCACGAAACCACAAGAAAATGCGCAGGGATTTCTCAAAGAAATAAAAAAGCGTCTTATTTACCAAAAAAAAATTCTGAACAATGCCGTGTCCGTCAAAGAAAACTGAACCATCAAATTTCCACTTCCTTCATTCTGTCAGTATAACTGTATGATAGGTTTTTATCGTCGGTGATCTTAATCATTGGCGACTTTGCACTCTTCATCGTGGGAATCATACATTGACTCGGTTGGCTAAAGATTTGTCTCTGAAGCTCAAATTGGCTCGAAAGAATGTCTATATTTAGTGCACTAAAGTTACACGACAGAGCACTTATTTTGGAAGACTCAATCAACGATGGAATGTACGGGTGCTTGTCGCCCTGTATACTGGTCTATATACGAACGTGCGTCCATTTTCACTTACAGCTTCAAGAAAGTTGAAGAGCCCGTGAACGCTGCCAACGTAGCGCGTCGTCACTTGCTGGAACGCCACTTCAAGATCCATTTGCCTTCAGGTGGTAAAAAAAGGAGGAATGCGAGGTTTTTCAGTGTGTGCACTGCGCCACCGGACAGCATTCGTGTAACCAGTGAAGGCGCCACTTCGGACATAAACACCGCTCGTGTTTGCTATATACGAAAGGCTGCGTGCGATTAAACATTCATCAACTGCTCGAATGGGCGCGTCACTCGTAACAAGAAAAAAATAGTAAGACAGCGCTGCATACCTGTTAGCACGTCAGACTATGCACAGCCTTTGATCGAACGCGAATACGCACGATGATGACGGCTCTCTTTTCATGGAGCGTACCCACTATATGGTAAGTGGACAATAGTCGTGAAACAGGATGTTATTTATTTATTTATTTATTTATTTATTTATTTATTTTTGTATTTATTTAGTAAGTCCCACGGACAAGAAGCTTAAGCAGGGTGAAGAGGACACACAAGATCCTTTCTCCAAAGCACAAAAGGAAACGAGATTGTGACACGCTTTTTCCAGTTTACTACGGTCATAAGATAGATTATTCTAACTAATGCACAAAATAATTAGACTATTCACAGAAATGGATCAGAGGTCACACAATTCTCTCAAGGGCGCTGGAGGAAATGCCTGAGTTAGTTCATTCTTTGATTGATTGATATGTGGGGTTTAACGTCCCAAAACCGCCATATGATTATGAGAGACACCGTAGTGGAGGGCTCCGGAAATTTCGACCACCTGGGGTTCTTTAACTTGCACCCAGATCTGAGCACACGGGCCTACAACATTTCCGCCTCCGTTGGAAATGCAGCCACCGCCACCGAGATTCGATCCCGCGACCTGCGGGTCAGCAGCCGAGTACTTTAGCCACTAGACCACCGTGGTGGGACTCAGTTAGTTCATTCTAGTCGCCTGTATCGTCACCCCCGGAAAGTCTTTTCAGGCCTGCGCCCAGCAATCTAACGTCAGTTCCGCCCGGCCGACTCTCGGGGAAGCCGCAGGGGCAGCGAGCGCAGCACGGGCGGCGCGGGTCAGTTCGGCGGCGTGGTGTTGACGGTGTTTCACGTTTGTTGCTTTCCGTTGTTGTTTTGCGGCAATTTCGTTTCCGTGCGTGATGCTGGAGTGATGCGACAATGCCGAATAAGTGTTGTGTACCCGGATGCACCGGCAACTACAAAACAGGAAAGAAGATACAAGTGTTTTCCTTCCCTAAAGACGCCGACGCTCTCAAACAATGGCTACACGCCATTCCTAGGAAGGACTTCGTGCCGACTTCGTGCACTAAGGTAAGAATTTGAGATGCTCCTGTTCTTAGCTTCTCGTTGCTTGTTCGGGTAAAAATCACCTTTGATGGGAAATACTTGAGCCTGTGGCCGCCGGGCCTGGCGAAGCGCTGACGCCAGCAGTTGATGAGAATCGCCCAGAAAGGCACGTTCGCAGCAAGGATGGTCAGCTGCGTTTTGTTCACTAACATTGCCGTGGTGTCGTCCATTCTTGCAAGCTCTCGGTGGAAGCGCTTCGTGGAGTGCGGTGACATTACGCTCCCGTGTTTCCTTTCATGTTGCTTGTATCGCTTAGCGCAGCGCTTTTATTTAGATGCTTGCGAAACGTAGGTAGACTTTGTTTTAGCTACACGGACTGTAAACACGGTCATGCAAACGGGAGCGCATTTTTTTTCTTTTGAGAAGTGGCGTCTCAGACGTTCTTGAAACATTTGTGCAGGTGTGCGCGGATCATTTCGACGCTTCATGCATCGAGAAGACGACATCGTACACGGATCCAAGGACAGGGAGAGTTATTGAAGTTGCACTCCCAGTACCACGGTTGCGTCCTGGATCTGTCCCAACGGTATTTCCCGGCTGTCCGTCCTACCTATCAGTACGAGACCAGAGCACGAGAGAAACCCCTGACGCCAAGAGGAGCCGACAAGAAGCTTCCCAACTCGCCCGTGCTGTAGAAAAGTCGCTGGCGTCATATGAAGCGGAGCAAGAACGAGACTGGTTTTCGTCCCTCGAAGAACTAAGGGCTCACCTGCAAGGGGTGTCAGTGTCTCCGAAGTGGACTGTGATTCATAAAGAAGAGTGCTCCATGTTTTTGAACATTATCGACTATCGTGAACCTTATTTGACTGCGTCATTGACAGTGTTTGCAAACCTTGAAGTTTTTGCCTGCTATCAAGGTTCACCAATCAAGAACCTTGGTAGCGCTGTTGTACCAGACTCAGTTCAAAAAGTAAGTTCCTTGTTGGAAATTTTGAACAACCTGTCGATGCTGTCTGAGGAGCGCTGCACTTATCGCCACCTGGCTCAAGCAATACATTCCCTTCTGGACAAATTGGAAGCCAGCATTGATTAAGGCAAGAAAGAGACGGTGAACTTTATGAAAGAGCAGCTACTACTCCTTTCTGCAGAGCGCATTCAGTATAGCGCACAGGTGATGGTCTTTGCATGCATCTTGCGTACAATATCACCACAAGCCTACAAGTTCCTGAGAAGCACAGGTACACTAACTTTGCCCCACCCAAGCACTATTAGAAATGTGTGCTCGTCTATTCAAATGTGCCCACAAGTTGATTCTTCTGACGACACTTTCCTTCAGTATGTGTCTCAGAGATTCACATCTGCAGCCACATGAACACACTGTGACGCTGATGCTTGACGAGATTCATATCAAACCTTGTTTAGATTACAAAGGTGGGAACGTATGTGGTGCAGCAGTTAACTCCAACGAAGCGGCCACATCGGTGCACGTGTTTATGATACAAAGTTTGCTGAGCGCATTCAAGGAGGTGGCGCACATTCTTCCGGTAAAAACCTTACAGGGTGAAGATCTTCATTGCATGCTGAAGAAGGTGATCTTGGGCTTAGAAGAAATTAGATACAGGGTCATAGTCGTTGTCTGTGACAATAACTCGCTGAACAGGAAGGCAATGAAGATGTTTCTGCCATAACCAAAGCTAAGCCCTGTTTACCCGCATCCGGCCGACCCAGATCGGCCGTTATTTTACGTGGTGGATGCTGTACATCTATTTAAATGCATATGAAATAACTGGCTCAACCAGAAAAATGCTGGAACTTGCTTTTTCTACCCACGCTTCAAGCTTTCGAACAATGAAGTTCATCCCGAATGCAAGATGACTGCTTCATTTAAGCATTTGAGAGATTTGCATAAAGAGGAGTCACCCCTGCTTATGAAGTCTGGGTATGGCTTGATGTCAAAAGCTCTAAATCCAAGCAGCTTTGAACGACGGGACGTCAAACTCGTACTGCAGGTTTTTAATCCGCACGTAGCCGAAGCCCTGGCCGCTCGCAAGGGTCATACTGATTTTCAACATGCTACAGCAACCGCCAAGTTCATCAAAATAATTCTTCGTTGGTGGAGCATTGTCAATGTAAAGACACCTAGTAAGGGCTTTCATCACCGTAATGTTTACGAAGAGCCCATGTCAAACCACACAGATGACCCAAAGGCAAGCTTTCTAAGAGCTTTTATCACATGGCTCAATGTGTGGGAATTTTATAGGCACGACACCGGAGTACTTACCCAGGAGACATTGAGTGCCTTGAGGCTCTCTGCTCAATCCCTTTTGGCATTGGTGAAGTACTGCGTTAGTGAGCTTCACTTTAGGTACATTCTGCTAGGGAAAGTCCAGACGGATCCCCTCGAGAGTCGCTTTGGACAGTACAGGCAGATGGCTGGTGGGCAGTATCACATATCTGTTCGCCAGCTTTGCGAAACCGAGGGAAGTATTCGCCTTCAAAATGCCCTTCCAAGGATGAGCAACGATGATTTCAGAGGCATCGAAGAGACGGACAGTGTCAGGGATGCGGGCACTTCTTTTAGTGTTCATGTTAGCGATGGTGACCTTGATGAGCTCAGAGCACAAATGCCGGTGATTGGTTATGTTGGTGGGTATTGTGCACACGCTGCAATGAAAGTTCTCAAGTGTGAAAGCTGCCAGAGGCAGTTGGTCGTTACCGGAAATACGGCCGAAACAGGAGAGGACACCCATTCTTTAATCGCACAACTGGATCGGGGTGGCCTCAAATTTCCTTCTGCTCTTGTAATCGCAGTAGTTATGTACACGGAGGTTGTAGTTAGAAAGCTCATGACGGAAAGTACCTCTACCCAGTTTCTCCATGGGCCGAACCAAAAGAATGTCGTTCGGCAACTTACACTGGACTCTCTGCCAAGGCTTGAGGACATAGGTACGTGTGAAAACGGGCACACCTACGAGCTTCTCATCACATTGGTTGCAAACTATGCAGCAAATATAATGCTCAACAACTTGTGCAAGCAAAGGAACGATCTTTTACGCATTGAAAAAGATCAGAAGGCGAAAAATAGAAAGGCCCGAATTTTTCTTGGAAAGTAATTTTCCAAGCGTCGCGTCTTTCTCTTCACATTCATTCTTGTGAAACTGCACTGAGTGTATTTGATTTGCATAGTCATGACTTGATTTCCTTGGTATACTTCTGCCTTATGTAAAATGAGCCTTGTTTCCAGTTTTGTATCTCTTTACAAGTTGTTAGCTTTTAAAAGTGCTGTACTCTTTTTTCTTTTTTTTTTAACTCGAACTGCCTCGGTGCCTACTGTAGCAGTTGTACAGTCCGTTTTGGTACCTGAACTGTGTACACTTTCCGTGTGCACTCTGTGTACAGACATGTTGTGCACTGTGATTTATTTTTTCTTAGATTTTTGTTTGATTTTTTCCCTAGGACATGCACCTACCTGTGGCCGTACAATTACTTTTCTTTCTGTCATTTATCATGCTGTGGACCACAATTTAGTCACCAGTGTTCTTATGCATTGTATTTTTGGCAAGTGTTTGAACCTGATACCTTGTGTTGCTACTGCTACTATGATAAACGAATGGTATGTTTTCCTCTAACCTACAATTTAAATGAAAGTGTGCTTTTTCTGTTCCAAAGCTCAGGAATGTTTTTGCTGTTACAATCTGTTTTGTTTTCTGAGTTTTATGTGGCAAGATATTGTGTTTTGTACTTTTGGCATATTTTCAGCAT